GGACATGTGCCCCTGCCAGGCAGCCCAGGTGGGAGAGGGTTAGAAACCCAGGGAGCAGTTCAGCGCCCGGGATGCGGATACAAGGGGTTAAAGAAGGGGGTGGGTGGGAAGAAGTGACGTCATTGTTTATAGTCTTGGCCATATGGACTTCGTTCCCAGGGCACAAGTCAGGACTCCCAGCCCGGCCCCTAGATAGAAGTACTGGGTGTGAGCTCCAGTCATTAAAGGGGTGTGGCAGGGCTGGGAGCCAGGACTCCTGGGTTCTCTAGAGATGAGCGCATACTGTGCAGTCCGGTTGCCTGTTGGGTCCCCGGGGCCCGGGACACAATCATTCCCTTCTGGCTGCGCTGTGGTTACCAGGCCTGTGCTGGCTTGGGGCAGGGGATGATTTGGGGCCCCCGGGAGCAGGCTGGGAATGTGCCATCTGGGTGCAGGGCTGGGGAGACGGAGCCGCTGGGTGCAAAGAGACGGTAACGCCTGCTGGGCTGTCGAAGGTGATTATATCTGGGAGGGAGAGATTTACCAACCGGCAACTGAAGCCATGATGGAGAGGGAAAGGAACAGAGCCAAGGAGTCCTGGCTCTCAGCTACATCTGTTCTAACCACTAGACCCCACTCCCCTCCCAGAGCCAGGGAGAGAACCCAGGCGTCCTGGCTCCCAATCCCCTCCTTTGCCCTCGCGGTGTAGTTACAGTAGCGCTGAAGTCTGCCCTCCTTTCGGCCATTGTGGGCGGTGACAGTCGCCACAGGCAGAATTATCACCCCCCTGCCCTCTCGGGCACCCCCTCCCCCCAATGGAGTCCCCCCATCTCACTAAGGAAGTACTGGTCACTGGCCAGCCAGGCACCTCCTCCAGCCTCGGCCTGCTCTCTAGGATTTCACCTAATTGGTCCCCTGCTTCCAATCCTGCGGTTTTTTGCTTTTCAAGAAGCAGCTGAGTGGTTTGTTGAGTGGCTGGGTAGCTCTAATGGGTTAGAGCCGGTGGCCAGGACTCCTGGGTTCTCTCCCTGGCTCTGGGAGGGGAGCAGAATCTAATGGGTTTGAGCAGGGGTGCAGGGAGTTAACCCTTCTCTTCTCCCCTTGCCACAGGATGTTTTCTGTATTTATCTCCTCCATCAATGATTTTTTTCTACAGAAATTAAAATAAAATATAGAGCCAAAGCCACTGAGCTCAGGGAGACCCTACAATAATAAGCCAGCGTGTGTAGTGCCAGTACTCAGGGCATGCACAGTCACGCAGAGCTCATAAGCAACCCGACAGCAATAACCCTAGGCTATGCAGTCCAAGATCTCCAGAGAGACCCTACAATAAACAAACGAGTGTGCGTAGCCCCAGAACTCTGGAGAGAGCCAACAATGCATTAGTGTCTGTAGCCCCAGTGCACATGAGGGACCCTACAGTAAACCAACATGCCAGTGCAGCACCAGAGCTCACAGGAGACCCTACAGTAAACAAACCAAGGTGCCTACATACCTTACAATAAACAAGCCAGAGACCCTAACAAACCAACCCCGTGTGCCTGGGAGGGGAGACCAAGCCTGGAACAGCCTGCTGCTGAGAGCTGCGGGGGGGGGCGAGAAGAGGACGCATAGAAAGAACAGCCACAGCGCGTTTGCACGATGAATTTTGTCCCTCACACCTCGCCATAGACATCAGCCCGAGCTGATGAGAGAAAGCAAGTGGGCGCGCTCAGGGGAGTCCTGACGCGCCCCCGTGCGGGCACTTGGTACAGCCCAGCGCTCGCTCCCTGCTCCTGGCCCCTCCCAGCGGCTAGGTTGATTCGGCCGCGTCCCTCCTCCCCCTCCCTTCTTGGTGGATTCGGCTGCGTCCGCCCCCTGGGGATTCCCCCCCCCGGGATTCCCTAACCCCTCCCTCACTGAGCCTCCTGCATTGTCCCCTCCCCATGCTGTGTCAGGACGCCTGGGTTCTCGCCCTGGCTCTGCGAGGGGGGCTGGGAGCCAGGACGCCTGGGTTCTCTCCCTGGCACCAGGAGGGGAGTGAGGGCTGGGAGCCAGGATGCCTGGGTTCTCTCCCTGGCACTGGGAGGGGAGTGGGAACTGGGGGGGGGGGGAACTGGGAGCCAGGACTCCTGGGTTCTCTCCCTGGCACCGGGAGGGGAGTGGGGTCTAGTGGTTAGAGCCGGCAGGGGGGGCTAGGAATCAAGTCCCAGAGGCAGGAATGGAACCCAGACGTCCTGACTCCTTGGCAACTACCCACAGGCCACCGTCCCCTTCTGCTGCTGGAAATAGAACCCAGGAGTCCTAGGGGGCACACAGGCCTGTATAAGGGTGAACCTCCCCTCTTATGAAACAGGGCTCAGCCACCTTGTCGGGGAGCTGGGAGCCTGCACGCCCGGGCTGACAAATAGAAAACCCTGGGGAAATTAAATGCAAAAG